GTACTGGCAAGATGGTTCTTTCTTCTTTCAGATACTGAAATTCCTGGAAGTTGAAGTCAAACTCATCATCATAAGCAAGCAGCTTCTGCTCCTCGCCGTTGCGGAAGTGGCGCATCCTAATAGCTCTGCCAGCAAGATGAGCATGAAGAAGTACTGCAAACACATGAATCCCAGCAGGTCTTTCAGCACCTAGAGCCTAGCCAGGGGAAACGAAAACCATCAGTGTGCCCAGATGAAATGCAATGTAATGCAATGTACGAACAGTGAAAATATATTAATAAATGCATTTTACATTCCCTCAGTTTAGAACAAAATTCAGTCTGAAGAAAAACCAAAACTCTATGCAAAATTAAGGGTTTATATACAAAAAAAGGCTAGGGTTTTGTGGATTTTGTTTTTTTGTTTTTTGGATTTTTATTATAAAAATATCATTAACATCATGCCAAGAGAAGCACTTTAAGAGGCTGCAATTACAGTATGTACTATTACCCATCTTCAAGTCAACCGGTGGTGAGTAACTGTAAGTTTACATCTGAAACTTTTTTCCAGGTCAGAAACATTTTAAAATTAAATTTTCCAAATTGACACAAATCTGACATCAGTCTCCTTGTAGCTGAGGTCTACAGATCCAAACTTTCCGTATGCTAAACTTTGATTCTTGTTCAGAGCCCAAACTAGAAATGGTTTGTTATCACAATGCCTTTCAAGAATAGCCTTAAGATCAGAAATCTCATGATAAGAGATTACTCAGATATTTGTAGGCTGAAAAATGCAATGACAATATGAACATTTAACGCCACTAAGAGCAAATCTAAATTATGTATATAATTTGCCCTTCATCCTAAACCACATCACAACAAGCATTAATTCAACTTTTCATTATAAATGACAAAGTATATGAGAATCTCATGTGATATATCAACCACAGATTTTAGACAATGCTTTCATTATCTGAAGAGATGTTTAAATCATCTTAATGAAACCAAGTGTTCAATGAATGCATAATTTTGTCCTTTGGGCCACACAAAAAAACCTGTTCAGGCCTTTAGTTTCTGTGATTGGTCTAATACCTTTCAGGCTTTCACTTCACTGTTAGGAGCCTTTTGGGTATGCACAGATCTTAATTAGTCTCTCTCAACAATTTTTCTGGGCTAGTTATTCCAGGTTATTAATAGTTTTGCCATGGAAAGCAATGTATGCTTATATATTGACACATAATCAAAACATTGCGAGCACTTTGTTATCCGGTATTACTCACATCAGTAAAGCAGTCTGAATACTGAGCAACTCTAATACCCAGATCAAAAATACTCAACCTTCTGAAGGACAACATGTAGCGGATGCCTTTGCTCACGTGTCTTCAACAGGTAACTATCAATCTTCCCAAGAAGTTAAAGCGCCTGTCCAAAACTATTTCTAAGGATAATAACCAATGCATTCAGTCAGGAGACATACCTCTTCTAGACATTCCAGTGTGCAGTGACCCTCTGACACAAATTCAGGCATGCCTGGTGGGATATTGTGGAAAAGGCTGACCCAAAGACCAGCTTCAATAACCCCAGCATCATATTTCCTTAAAACCGGAGTATAAATTAGCCTCAGACCAGAGTTATCTATCAAGCCTGAAACAAAAGAACAGTCAGCTGCGGCTGTAAATCAGTATTCTTTAAAAAATAACAACATAAAAACCCCTTATTTTTTCACATTTTTCAAGGCATGTCCTAAATTTTTTACACAAAAATCAGAGACTCAACCTCAATAACCTGGAAATGGGTCAAACCATATGTGGGAAGTAATAAATAGGGGCAGCCCACAGAAGGGTTGTTAAACATGGTATCTTGCTATCTGTGGTGTTGAATGTGAATGAAAAATATGTGCTGTCCATAGCTCTCATGTCTCTTCCTCTAAGTTATCTGACACGGACCTCAGAAAAAAGTAGTTTAAACACTGGCAAAGGAAACAGCACCAAGAAATAATAGGACTTCAGAAGGTTCCATGTATGATTTTCAAATGACATATTTAAAGCATAGCTTAAAGTTGTTGTGGGTTTGTTTGGTTTTGTTTGTGGGGTTTTTTTTCATTTTTTTTCTTCTGCTTCTGAATTTATCTATTGCTTCACCTTGAGCCCTAGCATTAATTATATTTTTCCTTTGTTTTGGACTGCCTATCATATTACAGCATACCCCAGATGACCAAATACATCCCTTTTACAATCTGCCAAATTAAGAAAACATCAGCTAAACATGGAAATTGTCTTCCTTAATCACAAACTTGAAGATAATACTAGCACATTGAGTAAAGCAGACAAGAGAACAACAGAGGATTTTAATGCTGCACTTACTCAAGGACTTCTTTTGATTTCAGAAAGTAAATTAAAGAACCAAAGCCTGCTGTGAAAAAGATGAATTTTAAAGGGCCTAAATTATATGAATTTATTTTGTTCGCCTACATATTTAGCTGTATTTGTTTGTTTGTGTATCTATTCATGATTTATACATGACCTGGATTACCAACACCCTGCTCTGTCTGAATTTTCTCATGTCTTTGGCAAGACTTTGTGTTCACCTGGGACTGTCACAGCAAGGCAAAATTGTCTCCATTGCTTAAAAAGGAAACAAAACTTACTGACTCCCAGTTTTTTATGTGCCACTTGAACTAAAACAAGAGTATCACACAGCACAGTCAATTAAAATGAAATAGTGAATTTAGGGACACCACCAATTTGGAAACAGATTTTCTGCATGTGACTTCTCAGGCTTTCAGATAACATTTGACGGAAAAAAGTGCAACATCAAGTATGCAAATAAAGTGTACTATATCCCGTGCAAAAGTGCATGCTGAAGGGAGAGAGTCTGTCATGAAATAAACCAGTTTTGAACTAGTTCAGCCGGTACAACACAAAGAGGGGTAATAATAGTAAGACAGAACACCATACTCACACAGAAGATTTTATTTTAACACATGGAGGTGTAAAGAAAGGTCAGTCCACTGTAATGCACTGGATTTTACTCAGTTCATATCTAGCAATCACCAGAATATTCTCAGGTACAGTAGTTCAATAAACTTCCGTTTCAGAAGAAAAGAAGTTCAGAACAAAAGTCAGCTTCAAAGTTCCCTAGATTTTCTGGGGCTCCCTGGTTTCTGCCTTTTGCTTCTTCTAAATATAAATTAATTTTAGAAAGAAGATTAAAAAACCTCCATTACAAATGAAAAGCTTATCTTTTAAGATAAATTGCTTTTACTCAGAGAATGTTTTAGCAACCTGAATCTATACTTCACCTGCAGAAACTGCCTGCAGGTCAGGTAGATAGCTTAAAAAAAAGTACTATGAAAAATTAATAAAAGGCTCATTCTCTGTGTTGCTGTCTCACAGCCTGAGCATTGTGCTGCTCTCTCTTGGTCTGATTGGATTTCCCAGCAAAAGGGAGAGAGATAACATGAACAACATAGTGATAAAAGGAGATGTATTCACCTGGTCCACAATTCTTTGGATATCTGAATCCTGCCCTGACTTCAGGTCAAGCTTTTGAGTGCAGTGAGAAAAACACTGGGACCAGGAACTATTGAGCAGAGAAAAACAGGCCTCAGCTTTGTGTTTGTTCTCTTTGCTGTGCAATGCAATGAGAAGCACTTGTGTCTAGTACATTTTCCAATCTTGCATGTTGTAAAGAGTGTGAGGGCACAAACCTTCTGTGTATGATGGATTGTCATAATGCACCTCCATAAGAACGAACTGAGGGTCAGCTGCTGTGCCAATGGATAAGCCAACATGAGGAGGGTAGGTGAAGCCCTGGAAAGCATCACAGACACAGAGAGTTAAGATATTTTCGGCAAGATTAAGATTTAATTTCTTTTTATAAATACATTGCCTTTTTTTGCAATGATACAATCATATTAACAATAAAATTTATAAAGGTATCTTTGTTTAAAACTTTCTAAACATGGCATTGGGGCATAATACATTTACTATATATTTGTGGCACTAAATAACTATGTCAATATAAAATAATAGATCCTATGCTTTCTAGAGGATAAAGCCCTGGGCAAACTGGTCTGACCTCACCAATGACCCTGCTTTGAGTAGGAGGCTAGACTAGAGACTTCCTGAGGTCGCTTCCAACTTGCCTTATCCTGTGATCTTATGATTATTTATCCTGTATTTATTGCTTGATTGGAAAAGGAAGATTCCATTTTAAATGTATAAACATTGCATCATGAACCAGTTAGTCTGACAATAAAACCCTTATGAAAAAGTTAATCTACATTTTAAATGTTCCCAGTTTCTAAAAGCAGTAATTTCCAGGGAATACTGAGGTTGTACATGATTAGTGTTTTTCCTGCACAAATCACTGCATTCCAAGTAAATTATTTGAACAATAAAGATGATCTTCATGGCTATATTTACATTAGCAAGCCATGTAGTGCAAAAGTAGCTCTGTACAGAGCAACAGATTGTACTGGACCCACTGTCCCCAAATTATGTTCCTTAGGACAAGCTCTGATCAGACACCATGCACTGAACCCCATTTTTTTGCTGGAAGGTGCTAGGTTTACCCCTGCACATTCAGTAGCAAAACAAAGGGGATTGTGCAAGTTCTCAAACCACTCGTGATGATAAACAGAGCTTGGGAAGTGGGGATAACTGGCAGATTTACTCCAAAAGCTCACTCCTCATTCAAACAAAAATTGCCAGTATCTTCTAAGTCAAGTCATTTACCAAATTCACTTTCATAGGAATTAATCTGCATGATTTTAGAGTTTATAGCTAATATTTTAATATGCAATTTGAGATTCTAACTTTTTGAAATGTGCAATTTGACATACTAACTTTCTAAAGCTTGGTGGACATTAATGAATTAATCGTAGTACATAGTAACAAATATTACCTTCATTCCATTATCACCGCCACCCATGTAAGGGTGAACTGAATTAAGTGAAGGGAATTACTCTGGTAAACCTGAATTTAACCCAGATCTGTCAGATTCCTCTCTAAAGATCTTTAACAATGGGATCCTCTCTGCAATAGCCTCCATAGTTTTTGTCAAATGATAATTTATTTATGTAAGTTTTTTATTTCACTTGGATTAAGACAGTTGAAAGTACAAATACTGGGTCAGAGCATAGCTGATGGCGAAAATGTGCAAAGCACACATCAGGGATAATGCTCATAGTGGATTAAACTTCTTTTGATGGGTCCATATAGCAGCACTGGCTTCCTCATACTGCAGCACTTTAAGACAGCTTTGGACTGTAGACAAACAAAGGCTCCAGAAACTATCATCAGCCGTGGTCCTCCTCTATGCCCACACCATCATTTGTGTGGGCACACAGTGATCAAGGAGGTAAAGAAGGGGTGGGATTCTTTTGGCAGTAATGCTGCCTTATGTCAGCTGAAAACATTAGCTACAGCCTAAATTAACATATGAAACAAGCTGAAGACACAGCCTGGGGTCGTCAGAGACAGTGTTTTCTCTAGATGTGCCCCACATATGCCCCATCTTTTTCTTCATTCTCTAGAAGCAGCAGATACTTGTCATTGCTGGAGAAAGTGTATGCCCATATCATATGGGGCAACCTGATAGAGCAGCAGACTTTCATGCTCCCAAGCCATCTTTCTTTTTCTAAGGCATCAACTCTCTATATTCTTTCCATCACTTTCATCTTGTCACTCAGGATGATCATTGTATTTCAAACTTAAAAGTCAACATACTCAACAAGAAGTTGAGGACTTAGTGGTGAGGCATTTAGGGATTGTGATTGAGTATACTTAAAAACAGACAGATTCAGTAATCACTAATACATTACAAAGAGGCTTAGTATGATACACACCCTCCTAAGGCCCCATTGAAGAAGCATGTTAGACAGCCATTCATCCTACCTCTCCTCCAATGGCCCAAGCAAAAATGACTGTCTCACATGTGAGAAAAGAGTCTGGCATGTTGGGGTGGTAACACTCATGCCCATAGTCCAGCACACTGTCATTCAAATTGCTGCTGCACTGATAGAGAAGGATATGGTGCACCAGATTCTCGTGGCCTTTCTGGATCAATGGCTCAACCTGTCAATGTTAAAATGAAAAAGAAAAAGAAAGAAAACACATCTCAAATGTGACTATTTCAATTCAGGAATGCAGGCAGAACTAAAAATTATATGGTGTTTTATTTTAAAAGAGGAGACGTGATGCTAGATTGTAGTTAGGTTCAGACGTTACTCAACACTGCAACCGCAAGCACTGAAAATTTCATTGCCAAAGTACATAGACCAGGGACAGGAAGAAAATTCTGTGTTTTGACAAAACCTCTGTTGCCATCTATATTGCTCTCTCTTTTCCCACCCTAATCTTTCTCTGTCACTTGTCTTTTTCCTTGCCGAGTCTTGTTTAGCCACATTCCAGCATGAAAGGGATATAAACCAGCTGAAAGTCTGTTCAGCTCAACCAGCTTTGTATCTGAACCACTCAGAACTTTTCATCCCTCTTTCTGCCTCTTTGTGCTCCTTCAAATTAGAGCTGCTCATAGATTCTGTACATCTAGGGTGAGCCTGGAGGTATACCCCACATTCCTCAGCAGCTCAAGATGGACTTTCACATTTTTTTGACATCTACAAGAAATTAGAATTATTTTACAATCTGCTTAGTTGTAAAGACTTTATTAACATGAAGTCACTCCTGAGAGGTTGGGTGCTGCAGCCTGTCTATGGCAGTGATGAGCTGGAGGGCTCCCAGGAGTGCCTGGGTGCCCTCAGTATAATTACAGCATCGAACTTCAGGGTAGGCTGAAATTATTTTATTCCCATGTAACAGTGTTCACTCTCTTCTTGGATGGGTGATGTTAAATCATCTCTGCCAGAGATGACATCCCTGCAGCAAACATGAATACTTCTGGGGAAAAAAAAAAATTCCTTTTCAGAAAGATAATATTCCACAAAATATCAGCATATAGAAAAACAGTATTAAAATGAAAGGAGTTGTTCCCTTGCTTTTACTTTCAAAGATTGTATCCTGCTCTATCATATGCAAGTTGAGTACGATTTACTTTCAAAGATTGCATCCTGCTCTATCATATGCAAGTTGAGTAAGATAAACATTAATGTTTTCGCAAGAAAAGTAAAGTTTTGGCAATCCTCCTCTGAAGATGAAGGCTGCCATGCAGTATTGACTTTTAATATTAGGAAAGGGAAGATATTTTAAACTAGCAAAAAAATTATATACATCCTAACTTTGCATCCATGTGTTTTGCAAACTCCAACTCTAGCTACCAGAGGATCAGAATGGAATAAGCAAAACCAGTTTATTCCATTATTAAAATATTGTCAGCACAATATTGTTACCAGAAATACATCTCTCAGCACTTTGTTCAAACCACTAAACCAATTAAAAAAGAGCAAGGGCAGGAAGAAGAAACAAGAGCCTGTGCATATCAAGACCACCCTCATTGATATGAATCTGCAAAATACTATTGAAGTTGGGCTCTCAGGGAGTCCAGCTGCTGCTGAGTACCTGCATGTCTGTCCAAGAAGCGCACAACCCAAAACCACCCACTTCACTGCACTTAGAAGTCAGTGGAAGGATGCCAATTTACACAGATGCACAAAAGTTTTGTTCTGATGGCGACTGGAATACTTCATAAGAGAACTTCTGTACTGTGCTCAGTAATCCTTACTTCAGTTAGCATTACCATCATCATGAATTACTGTACTGTGGAAATAAAAGGTATTTTTAAAGGCTGTAAGAGTCAGTTTTCCCATCAGATAAGAATTTATTCCCAAATATATCAGACTGACAAAGACTCAAAAATCAATTTCAGCTTCTTCTCTCTGCTCTATCATGTACCACATATTTATCCAAACACTGCAGAACCAATATACACTCAGCTCATGAGAGCTTATATATTAAATAGTTGCATATATATCAAGAATTCTGAAGCTCCACATAATATATAGGTTAGCCAGGGAAATGGTTACGAGAATATTATTCATATCTACCACAAAAAAAAAAAAAAAAGAGTATTTTTGTCCAAACATGTGATAGTTCTGCCTGCTGCTACAAGCTCCCAGCACCTGCTGTGCTTACAATCACTACTTCAAAACCAACTTCCCCTCAAAACAATGGGACATCACCAAAATTAGAAACTCACATCCTGTCATCGGTTTTTAGTGTCAGTTACCTAAACAATAACAGCATTTCAAAAAGTAGTTTTGTTCAGCTTTCTTTAGTGAAGAAAAGACAAACAAAACAGAACAAAGCCTTAAGCATCTTTCTGATGCATCTTGTAGGACAACTTATATTCTTCACATGTACAAGTAAATAATAAAAAGCAAAGTTACACTTTTTACACATTTTATTACCACTTGGTTAAAGAGGTACCACCTTTCTCTATCCCTTTTTCAACAACTAGAGAAAAAAAGAAACTATTAGGAGTGGATAAAAATCGGTTAACAAAAATCTAAGAAAATCTCACTAATCACAAACTCTTCATTTCCCAGAAATGTACAAAAATTTTTAATGGCCAGCTTCCTAAGGCTCACAGCATCATTTTTGATTGAAACAAGAGAAGGAAGATGAGCATAGCCCCTAGATGCTTTGGGTTCCCTTTCTCTGATCTGATGAATAGCTAACTGTACTTACTGGAATAACTTCAGCAGAAAAGGAAATTTAAAAATAGAGACTCATTCTCTATTGCAGTAATTAAGTGCAGCAGGGATTTAAACATGCCATTCTACATCCCAGGTGAGTGCTGTCCTATTTACTCAGCCATTTGTTATTTTAGCTTATAGAATAAGTTGGTTACTTAGGCTGCCTCTCTCTTCCTCTCTCACTTTCCACAAAGAGCTTAGTTTTCTTCAAGCTGAAAAGAAATTCCAAAACCCTTTTTTTTTCCCCCAAATAAACAAAATTCTTGTTTTCTGGCCAGCCTTACAAACAATGACGAACAATGACTGAGCTTCTCAAATACAGGGCTAAATTCAGCAAATCACCGAAGTATTAAAGTGGATGTAAGCAGTCCCAGGTGTAAAATTAGTTGCTAAAGCAGGCATCTACAAAAAAATATCTAGATAAGGGTGGCCTGGCTTCCAGAGTACTTGTAGCTTCAGTGAATTACAACATAATTTGTAGGGCTCATCTCCTACAAGGTTATTCCTATTCTAACAAACAGATTTTTGTCAGTCTTGATCTCTTAACTACGGGCATTAATTTTTAAAATGTGGACTGTTTAATGTACACATTCAAATTTTCCAGGTTTTTATTTTTTTAAGCATAAACGTTTTGGTTCTTTGATAAACTTTATTCCCCAAATCACAAAATAATAAGCTAAACTGAGGTCTACTTTTGCATGTCTCCAGTTACAGTAATAGTGGACCAACCCCAAAAAGTCATCATCACTGTCTGTTAATTTGTCTCGAGAAATAGTATAACTTTCAGAATACTTATGAAAAGATAATTATTTACTGTGGTAAATCAGGGCAAAGGGGCAAAATACAGAAAAAATATGATAAAAACAGGCACAGCACATAGCAGTCGATAAACTCGACAGATTTCAGTACACAATTCATTTTTATTTGGATTCTTATTTATACATAGCCTTGTTTACTCTGTTCTTGTACTGCAAGGGGACTGTCAAATGACACTTTCAGCCACCAGTAATTGAGTAATCTAGATGGGTTGCAATGAGAATGGAAATCTGCCTTTCACTTTCACCAATTATGAGGAAACCTGTGACTTTGAAACGTAGTTCTTCTGTTTCCCTTGCTAATTCCTACCCACTTCTTGTTAACCAAGGGAGTCAAGAAAAAGGCTGAAAGAAAACTGAAAGGGAAAATGCATATAACTACCTATCATCTTCTCCATTTTATCTCATTTTTTGAGGTTCATCTGTGGCACTTCCATCCATCCACTGTTGCTGACATGCAAGGAAAACCCAGCTGTAAGGGTTCATCTCTTTGCCATATTGTGAATAAGCCTGCAGAAATACAGAACCACCAGGGCACCTCAGTGACTTCTTCCCCTGCAGGCAAAGTGCATTTTCTGCTTGACATTTCCTAACTGCCAGGGGCTTGGAGAACAAAAGCCCTATATCCACCCTGCATCAAAATGCCAAAAGCATTTGGGCCTGCAAAAAATAAGTGCATGCAACAAGACAAAGTATCTCCTGCTTTTCATGAAACCTGCAGAAAGAAGTTCCTGTTTTATTATTCATGATGATTTGCTTTCTGCATCCTCTCTTGAAAGCCTGGGTGAAAGATCTTTCTAATGGAGCACACTGAAATATATGAATCTATCTGACTCCCACTAACAAGAGGTAAAAAATAGCAGATGTACTGTAGTCTCCCACCACATCAAATCAGGGTTTCCAGAGAAGGAGTTATTTAAAATACACTGCATTCAAATGTAAAATGAAGACACCGCCTTCTGCAACCAAAAGTATGAGTTTGGGCAGGTTAAGAGGTTTTACAGAGCTCCTTTCATCATAGTCTTAGATACGGTGACTCTTCATACATCAGAATCTCTTAGTGCTTCTGAAAATACTGACTTTCAAAGAATATAAAATAACAAATTTTCAATTTATTACCAAGTTAAAACAAATAATAGGTATGCTTTTCACCTGTTAATTTAACAGAAACTCTATTCTAGTCAACAGGCTGACATTACATACACAAAGAAAATGCTCATATCTGCCAGTGCTGGGTTATTCAGCCTCAATTTTCCTTCCTCTCTTCTCTATTTCCTGTTATCTCTTTCC